ACTGAAGAAAGTCTTGTGCGAAGTTATTCTCAATTTTGCTTTAAAACTGGTTATGATCAGACTAGTACTACTCAAAAAGAGACTATCTCCAGGAATGGAAAAGAGAAAGTAGGGGAACCATCCACTCCCTATGCACAGAAATCTATTCGTATAAGCCCTAAATCCACAAGTGGATCTAAATTTACGATTCTTGATGATGATGCTAGACTATTTCATAACTTTGAGATGAAGGTTGGAATTGCGTCTGGTATACAAGGAAATGGCAGTTTATTCAGAAGTAAAGAGGACAATGTATATTATCAGATGCTACTTGCTAGAGGAATTATGAATCATCGTAGTGTGGACTTCTATCATCTAGATAAGGTTGGTATTTCTGTGAAACATCTCTTTGAAAGATTGGGCATTTACGAGTTCTGTCTGCAATCTGCACATGTCTATGTAGAACTGACTGCTTATTTTTACTCAAATCGTTCCATTCTGTCCCCAAATTGGCTTCAATTCATTGTTGCTGATAAAAAGTATGATCTGAAAGTGGAAGATCTGGCTCTGATTATTGGAGCGAAAAATTACAAGTTTACTCCTTTTGAAGTAAGCTTAGAAGATGCTTCCAAAGCAGCTTCAGAAAATCAGAATTTTGCTAAAGGCTCTAAACGCCATATCTCATATTCTGATCTGACCAGAAGAACCATGATCTTGCATAAGATCATTATCAATTGCTTAAGGCCTAAAGCTGCTTCTAAGACTGACTTGTCTAAGTTTGAAATCAAGCTTATCTAGGCTATTATGAATGGAAAGCCTTTCTCTCTTCCTCACATCATCATTTTTCACATGTACAGAACTCTCCAGAAGGACAAGGGACAACTTCCTTATGGTGCACTCATCTCTAGAATCCTTATCTTTTTAAACATTACTATTCCTGATGATTTGTGCAAAACCTTTGTTCCTTTGATGTTTGTTGGAGAAAGATGCTTACCAAGATGAATCTTAAGCAATTAGATGATAGAAAGGAAAGAGCAAGTACAGACAAAGGAAAGGGTGTTCCGCAGTCAGAAGCAAAATCTGTTGGCAGAAAAAACGACAAAGACAAAGAAGGAAGGAAAAGAGCAGGAAAAGAAAAAGCAAGAAAGCAGACTGTGTCTTCAAGTCCATTAAGGGTGTACAGTAAGAAGAGAAAACTTCTTCTCAGAGATGAAGATGATGACTCAGAACACCTTGAAACAGGACAGAATGTTGGTCCAGAACATACTTCAGCACCTGCTGAGAAGGTTTCAGCACTAGTATCCGGGGACTCACATCTGCAGCAACAGTATGATGTTCCACAGAGGACAGATGTAAGTCAATCTCCACTTAATCCTGAAGAGACTTTGAATGAACATACTACTGCAAGACAGACAGATTTTCAGGGGGAGATTCCAATAGAGACAGGGGATGAGTTCGAACAGAATGCACCGGATAATGTTCAGGGACCGACATCAGACAATATGACCATTCTGACCCTTCTGCTAGAAATAAAAGAGAAATAAGCTGCACTTGAAGAGGACGTGAAGAATCTTCAGAAAATTGTTGAGAAAAACAATCAGACTCAACGTCTTCAGGCAGAAAAAGACAAAGCAGAGATTGGGGAAGCTATTGCTCTCTGTTCAACAAATATGGAGAAAGCTATGGGTCATTGTTCTACAAAGATTGAGGAAGCTGTTTCTATCCTGGAGAACTTTCAACTTGTTCGAACCCCATCAAAGAAATAACCTGTTTTTCATACCATCTTTTTAAACCATTCTTATTTCCAAACTTGTTCTGTAATCTTTTTAATATTTGCCTTTGTTAGACTGTTTGGTTGGTTTATATCAGCACATTATTCTGCTTATTATTGTTTTATTCTTTTTGCTGATGACAAAAAGGGGGAGAGATTATATGCAGATATTGCCATACTAACATTCAAATATGCAGGTCATACTCAAAAGAAGAGAAATACACAGATCTTAAGAGTTTGCACATTTATTTTTATCTGTGTTTCATGCGCTTAATATGATTATTTTCTTCAAATTTATTTGACATTGATTGAATCTGCATGGAAGTTTTGTCACCATCAAAAAGGGGGATATTGTTGAGGAAAACTCCTAATGAATTTTGGAGCTGACAAAACTTTCTATGTTTATCTTGTAATTCTGACATGTATTCCATTCCAGGTTTATATTCTGGAAGTTCAGAAGGAAATATCAGATTTTACAAGTTTTCAGAACTAAAAGTTCAGACTCAGAAATGAGAAGTTCAGACTTTACCATAAAAGTCATTCAGACTCTAATTTTGAAGGACTCATATTTTACTGAAGACCTACGCAGACTCAGATTCTAAATGTAAAGCAAGAATCGAAAATTCTTTAGACGCAAAAGTTATGCAGATGCAAAAGTTTTTCAAACGCAGAAGCAAAACTCATTCAAAATGAATCACAACAGATAGTGATCTGGCATTGATTTCACAAAAAGGAAAGTTTTGATTGTCTCAATCTCAGCCTAATTGATTGACAATCAAATATTATGACAAGTATGCATTACAACGGATAAAGCTCTACTTATGGAAACCAAGATTCTGATTGTATGGGCGACCAGAATCAGCGGGATTCTGATTTTGTCAACCAACGGCTACTCAATCCATTTTATACAAATCTGTTCAAGATGAAGATTGGAAGATGATCCTCTGAAGACTGTCCAACGGCTAGTTTGGGAGTGGAGGAGTATAAAAGGATATCTACGAGGAGCAAAAGGAATAAATGAATCATGAATCAACAAGTCCAAAGTTTGAGCATATTCCGATCCTTTCTCTTGTCTCTCTTGAGCTAAACATTAAGATCTTGAGGGATACTTTGTAAGAGTGACTGTGTGAGATAGAGAGTCCTATCATACACAAGAGTGCTGTCACTCAGAATTTGTAATTCCTCTTGATTACATAGTGAAATCCAGCCAGTAGGCTGTCAGCGTGGGAGAGTGGACGTAGGCTTGCTATAAGCCGAACCACTATAAACTTGTGTGCAGTTTTTCTATCCCTTATCTCTTACTTTACATACTACACATCAATAGCACTGTTTATATAAACTGTTTTGAATCTAAATTTTATTCAGACTGAACTGTGATCAACCATTTCCGCTAGAAATTAATCAAAGTTGTTTAAGATCACCTATTTACCCCCCTCTAGATGATCCGCTAGCTATATTACTTTTGACCCGATCCATGATTGATGGGTTGAGACTATTAGTGTTTTCTTCTTTTCGGTAATTCAAGGCGTAGACATAGAGGCCCATTGAATACCTTGCTAACCTCACAAACCAGTTTACTCCAACCTTTCGGCCTGAGCATGTGGCCCGAGTAGAGCAATTTGCCTGAATTTGATAGAACTTGAATGTGATATCTTCTGCTTTTGTGCTAAAAATGTCGGGATGACCTAATCAACTACGTCAAATCCAGGGATTGTCAAGATTATTATTTCACTTTCTATGTAGAGAGACGGAGAAATACAATGACTCGCGAGGTGAGATAATAAGCTGGATAGGTGCACTGGAAAGTTTGACCTAAACAATCAATATTGTTAGCTTCTTTTAACTTGACCTAGTGGATTTCGAAATTTTTTAAGACAAAATCTTCATCTTGCTTGTTCATATCGATGGTTCTCGGGCTAAAGCGTCAGCATCAGTAACAGCATGCACAGTCGTCGGCAAGGTAATATGATTTCTTTCATTAGATGATAGGTGGCAATAATATGCGGTCTCATAATTGTCATGATAAGAAGTTTGTGAATAAGATTGGGCATTAAACACTCGAAAGAAATGATTTCAACCGTGAAGGAAAATGATATCTCCCATTGGATTTAATTCGCCTCTGCCCTATTTGGACGGGCAATCGTTTGATTGAATCGACTCTTTAGAAAAGGAAACAGGACACACTAACTCCATTTCGCAATTGCTTAAATAGCATCAAAGGGCTTTGTGCTTTGCTAAGTCAATAATATTCTATATGCATATCTATATAAATTGCCAATATCAGCTGCTCTATTTGAAAATTATTTTGCAGCATATCATGCCATTTGTGAGTTTTTCTGAGTTCTTTCATGGTTCAGAGGAATAAAGGTGCACATATAAACTCAACGATAAAGTAGAGAATCATATGATGGTCCATCTCTGCCAGTATATATGAACTATCGTTGGATGGAAGGACTTGCATCAATCATTTTCAACTCTTTGGGTGAAATTTCAATTTGTTGAAGATACATAATTGCTTAGTCAAGATAGATACGTAATTATCTTAACAAGTATTAGAGATTCCAAAAGGTCCCACACACATGCTTGTTACCATAATAAGAGTAAATTGATACTCATTAAGCAAACTTATTTTCACAGTAAATGTCATAAATATGATTGATAGTAATTATCTCTCTTTCTTACTGTCCATTGAAGTTGGATGGAAACCATTGAAGGCCATAATTAGTTCTTCGTTGGCTATTGGACAAAAACAATTTTCAATATGTGCGTTTGATTTTTGACATAAATGACAAGGGTTTCTTAGGTTATGCTATTGAGTATATTAAGTATAGCCATTAATAACTTCTATAGATTTACATTGCTCGAGACCTATAAAAGGACGCTCAATGCGAAGAGTTCTATACACAACACAATGAGATAAAACAAAAGAGAGAAGACAGATCAGAAAGTATGAAACGCAAGGTGAGCAATGCATATTCGTAACGAGATCATGACATACTGCATTTCTTAGGCAATTCAGAACAATGCACGTAAGTTTGGAGGATTTTACATATGTGGAATCTGATGAAAGTAGTTCTAACAAATTCATGTAGAATTCTTGTGAAAACATGTAGAAAATTAAGAAAATAGTTTCGAGATATTAAATTGCATGCTTGGGAGGACGCTAAGATCATTAAAAAGGAGAAAAAGACAGATCACCAATGTCAACAAGTAGTTGTTGTCTATTTATGATGGGGAGAAACGGAATAAGTTTATGCAACCTTTTTCTTTTCTGCATAAAACCAAGAGTTCCATTTAACAGAAAACTCACATAATTTTTACATCAAAAGATAAATTATGGAGTAACTAGGTCCCCATTACAGTAATTACAATGTTACTGCTTGCTCTTTAACTGCAAGAATTTAGTTGGTGAATAGAGTCTGAAGAGGTTATATGCTGAGAGGAACGACGTGAGTGCTAGGACGATGCACGCAGCGTAGCCACATAAGAGCGCCCCACCGATTTGGAAGCAGAATCTAGTGTATCTGTTGCACAATTTCATCCATTGCATGGCCTTAGACCCTGTCACCGCCAGAAGCGACGCCTGTGTCGAGGCCACGGTGGTAGCAAATACAATGTAGACGGCAACCTATACCATTATGGGGACCGAATAGCAGTACAAAACAATTGTGTCGATCAATGATTACCGCCAGCCAGTCGTCATTAATTCCTAGTAATAACTACATGTATCATGAGAGAAAAAACAGTTGACAGGAATGTACTGATAATTCTCATGGAAAAACACATGCACAAGATATAGAATGCGAGTACTTAGGAAATAGCTAAATCCTCTACATACTAATGCTCGTCAAAAAACCTGTAAGATCGTTTGGTGTAGCTAGCTTGGAGTGTTGGTGTGACTACTCTGAAAGACAGGTTTTATAATCATGCGGAAATACATTCAATCTCTCTTTTAGTAAGAAAAAAAATTCGCGAAAAGTGGATGCTATATTGTTACTCCTGTTGTGAATATTGTGACTTTCTGATCTGCTTTGTTTACGTTGATTCGTTGCATAATTTGGCCTTTGATGGAGTCAAGTATGCCCTAAATACTCAGCAACCAAAAGATGAACTTCTGTTTATATTATGTAAATGATGGCCATTTCAAAGTATTACTTCCTATTTGATAAAGATTGAATGATAGAGTAACTTCATCATCATCTAATTGTTTGTCCAATCCAATTCTTTCCCTCCTCTCAAAAATTAAACAAACAAATACCAGTTACCTGCTCAAGTTGTTTAAAAAAAAAATCATCAATTTGGAGAATTCTTTACATATTTAGCTAGCTATATCGATAGGAACCAGAGGAAGAGGCTGAGATTTACCTGATCCAGCAAGAAATGGACCCAAGACAGATTCTTCAAAAGGGGACTCTGTATCTCTCTCTTGTAGCAAGCTGAGACTGAACATCTGCTCAGCTGAAGCAGATTATAACCAGCAACCACACCATCAATATACACCAAAACTCTAGCAAACAAAGAACATACTTTCACATCATTTACAGCAACATAAACCACAAGATAGAGACACAAGTAAAAACTTCAAGATGCGCGCGCGCGAGAGAGAGAGAGAGAGAGAGAGAGAGAGAGAGAGAGAGAGAGAGAGGGTATACGGGAGAGCATTCAAGTCCCTGAAAGTGGCTTTCTTGGCATAAGTATACACAATGAGCTTGGTCTGAGCGTCCATGGCGACCAAACATGCGGTCAAGACCAAGAGCAAGATTGCACAAACTCTCAATAAAGCTTCAGTTTTCGCTGCCCAATAACCCATGATTGTCTTTTTTTTCTCTTTGCTTGCTAAACTTGTCCGACTACTTTTCGTCCTTTCCAAAGACACCCACGACCACCCTTTCATGTAGGGACTTGAAACTTTTTATACCGAGAAAATATTAAATAATTGGCGTGGAAACGTCCACGCCGATTACAAAGCTGTCTCCACAAATCTCTTTCAATTCAACGTCTCCCCAGTCCCCATCCCTTGTCCTCATGCTTTAAGACCGTTCGAACGTGACGTCCAAGTCAATTAAAGCTATTAAATGTCACACACCTAAAAAAGGTACAATGGTCCTCACCCTTTGCATGGCCATAAACTTTTTCTTCTGGGCATTTCTTGTTTTGTCTTATGCATTGTTTGCACTCCCACCTTCTTGAGCATTTGATCATCAGCTAAAAAATTCTTATTAGTATAGGTTTCTCTTCTTCTTGTTTCCAGCAGTGGAGTTTAGGTTAACAATTGGAGTAGGCAAAATAAGAAGGGACACTCGAAGTTAGAGACTCGAATTTCGGCTAGGGAAAATTCGGAACAAAAAGCGACACTCAAACTTAGAGAACTACTATCATGTGTGTTACGGCTAGTGCTATCACCTAGAAAGGGGTGAATAGGTGTTTTTACCAAATTGGATGATTTAAACATGCGGAATGAATATAGTCGAGATCAACAACTCGTATGGTCAATATCAGATGGATGTGTATGACAAACTTGTATATAAATTGTCGTCAGATAATTGCGTCTGATGACTATGATGATGTTTTAACGAACTTGTTTGACAGATATGCATGTAATATAATGTCAACAATAATAATTGAAAGTTTAGGGATAGAAAATACTGCACACAAATCTTTATAGTGTTCGGTTTTATCAAGCCTATGTCCACTCTCCACGCTGGTAGCTTATTGGCTGTGTTTCACTATTGAATCACCAAGAGATTACAAGAGCAGTGCTTCTCAGATGATAGATTGCACTATTACATACACTCTTCACTCAAGTAATTTCGTTTCTAAAGTAACAACGTGGAATACAGTAATCACAAGTGTGTAAGATCGAAGCTCTATTCAGACTTTGGAATTCTCGATTCTGGCTTTTCTTCTTGTACGACGTTTGCACTCCTTTTATACTCCTATATTTCTAATCTATCCGTTGGACAGTCTTCAGAGGATTCATCTCCAAATCAACCCGTTGGAGAATCTTCCCAAAAGAAGATGCATAGCCGTTAGAAGAAGAACCATTATCTCTAGGTGATTTGATAATCCATACAATCAAATCAAGGTTTTCATAAGTGTAGTTCTTCATGTTTAAGGAACGATCTTGTGATTGCCAATTAAGATATCTTGAGATATCGATTATAAAATCAATTTGATTGTCCTGCATAAACTTGCCAAAACTAACACTTATTGAATTTGACAAGAAATTATGAATTTGATAACAAAGTCCTTTCATCGACTAAGTCTGATGACTCAGTATTTACCTGCATCAAATAACTTAAGTGTAATTATGGTCAGAAAAGAATTGTTTTGTCTTTCTTCAAAACTAATTAGGGATTTTCCTCAACATTCTCCCCCCTTTTTTATTATGACAAAACTATCCATATGCTTTAAAAATATTTATGTGAACAAAATACTCTATTTAGAGGATATGACATTCAAAGCACATAAAACAGTGTTAATTTATGATACTAGCATAATATTTCAGCATAACAGTTCATCCTACCGCTCACGCCAACATTTTCATTCATATTCTGTATAATATTTCTCCCCCTTTTTTATATCAGCAGAAGGATTAGTATCAAATAATAGCATAATCAAGAAGAGTTCAATAAAAGAGTTCAACAACTAGTTTCGAATCACAATTCAACATTCAAATGTCAAAGTGCACACCAAATAAAAAACAAATATCAAACGCGAAAACTTTTCTCAGATTATCTTAGAGAGACCAGTCGATTGGAAGATTTTTGGTCAATTTGTCTGGTTTGCTGGATGGGCTGATGGTCCAGAGGGTTCAGATGATGAAGGTCCAAAAGGTGCAGGTGGGAAAGGCACTTGTACTAGACTGAAGTAAGAAAGTTGGTTCAATCGTTGCTCAATACTGGATGAGAGCTAATTAATCTTTCCTTCAATGTTTGCAGTGTGAATTGCTGCAATTTGTACGTCAGTTCTGACTTGTATCTTCAGATTGTTTATTCTTGCTTCCATCAAGTCCTTCAGCTCCTGGATTCCTTCTTTAAGTTCATTTCTGAGTTCCCCGACTTCATTCTGAACGGCTGCTTGCCTCCACTTTATATCTGTAATAACTGCATGATCTAACATAAATGATGAGACATTATATCCAGAGGGAGTGTTGGTAGTCTGAATGTTACCAGATTTTACTTGCTTCTCTTTTCCTTTCTGTTGAGCTTCATATGGAACATTTTCATCTCCTTTAAGAGGGCAATCTGCAAATGTTGCTTATGAAAGGTCTGTCTCTTGGGCATTCTAAATTTGCTCCTCCTGAATGTCAGCCAGTTCAAAGCTAGTTTCCTCGACATGTTGAGCATTATCTTGCTCATACTCCTCCTGCCTTTCAGCCTCTATAACATTTTCATGCTCAAGCTCACCCTTTCCCCTAGAGGGTCCTTCTTCGAAAAATTGAATATCTTCAGTTTCTTTCTCTACAGTGACCATTTGCTCTTGTTGATTCTCCATCACAATTTTGTTGATAAGGTCATTAAATGATTGTATCAAGTTTTCATCCTCATCTCTCAGCCTTTGAATTTCTAGCTGAGTTGCAGCATGCTTGTCTACATGAGCTTTATGCTTGGCTTCTTCATTAAGTAGCCATTGTACAAACCTTATTTCCTCAAGGCTTCGGTCATCAACTTGAGATTGCTCATCAGATTTTTCATTTGATATCTCCATTTTATCATAATCACAGGCCACAACTTGTCTTCTTTTTGCTGGTCTGTCTGACCTTGAGGCAGTCTTCTTCACTTTCCTCTTTCTCACTAGAGGTTCGATCGACTCCTCCTTATCAGATTCAAGAAATATATTAATAGAGCCTCTGTTATGTTCACTCATCAGCTCTATTGGAATAATTTCACCCTTCTTATTCTTCCAATTTTCTCCATCAAACCTATATCCCATTTTGGTCATCATAAGTTTCCCTATAGTCATGGTTTGAAAAGGTTTGCCTTTGAGTTTCGCAAAAATGGGAATTTTGAAGTACTCAAAAATAGCAGTGATGAGAGCTCCATAAGGAAGTTGACATTTACTCTTCTTAACAGATCTGTACATTTGTAGAAGGTTCAAATGGGACAAAGAAATAGGAAAGGTGTTCTGAATTGCCCAGATTAACTTTGTCTCATATTTAGAGACATCAGTTTTAGAGGATCCTTTGGGTATGAGACAGTTTATGATTATTTTGTGCAGCACAATGGAGTTGAGAGGAAAAAGAATGTGAGATACGTGAGATGTTGAACCTCTGATAAAAGATGAGTTACCAGATAGAGATCGGTATGCCAAATCAGAATTAGTAGGAATGAAAGAAAATTCAATATGTGTTACTCCTAGGATGGCAGAAAGATCAAAGGCTGTTAACTTATAATCATTTTGAAAAACAGAGAATTCGATCTCAGCAGGAGAATTGAAGGATAAATTGGAATAGAAGTAAGCAGTTAGTTCAAGGTAAACCTTGTGTGAGAGAGAACACATTATTTGAAAATCAAGATTCTCAATCAGCTTCTGAATCTTGATATTGAAGTTTTCGAAGAAATTGAAATCTACTACCTTGTCATTCATGACTTCTCTGGCTAAGAGAGAGTTGTAAGCAATTTGATGTGTTTTGTTTCTGAACAAACTATCTCTTTTCTTATCATCAGGGGGAATGCCAGATATAGGCATGAACTCAGTGTATAATTTACCTCCTTTTCTGGAGTCAATGTTCTTGCTTTTCTCTCCAATTTGGAGTTCCTCCTCACCAGCAAATTCATCTACACCAACATTCGACTGTTTCCCTATTTTCTCTTTTCCTTTTCTAGAGAACCCTTTCTTCTCTGTCATAGGGGTTTCCTTAACAATATATGGGCAAAAGGACACTATAAGTGCCATAAGTTGTATACGGAGATCACTTTTGTGCCATAACTTTTTTTCGGATCACTTTGGTGTCAACTTTTTTGAAAAACGATCACTTTAGTGCCAATGCTGACATGGCCGCCGGAAATCTGACGTGGCTTTTTTTTTATTAATTTCCGATGCTGACATGGCTCGCCGGAAATCTGATGTGGGTCGCCGGAAATCTAACGTGGCACTTTTTTTGGCCGGAATTTTGGCCGGAGTCACTAAAGTGATCTTTTTTCCTCCGACTTGGCACCAAAGTGATCAAAAAAAAGTTATGGCACCAAAATGATTTCCGTACACAACTTATGGCACTTATAGTGTCATTTTACCACATATATGTCTCTTTAAGTACAATACCCTTTTCAGCAATAGGCGTTTTTTCAATCCTCAGACCTCTTTCATATTCTTCCACAACCTCTCGTTTAGACAGAAAACCTAATTTTTTACATACCACATTGACAGTGCTCTGATCACTTCGATTTTCTCTAAGTATTTTGATGGCCTTTATGAGTTGCCTTGCTCTACCAAAACGATCACGCTCATGGACAGGGATTCTCGGAGATTTCTTACCTTCATATGACTCCTTGTCAGAACCCGTGTCGGAGATGTCGATCTTCTCTGGTTCTCCATCATGTTTTGCCCTAGTGAACATTCCGGCAAGACGATTTGATCTTCTAGAGCCCTTGGTTCCTTTCTTCGATTCAGAGGTCGACTTAAGCGCCATTGAAGAAATTTTAGATTTCAGAAGAGAAAGATGGGATTTGTAGGGTTTCAAGGAGGAAATTGTGCGTTTGTGAAAAACGAGAAAGAAGAAGAAGGGTTTAAACCGAGAAATGCAACATTTCGGTTCTTATTAAACCCTTTTTGGAAACTGTCAATTGATAGTTAATGGAAATTTCAAAAATTGTATTTCGAAAATTTTGGGATTTTAATTCCCAAACGGTATCGTACAAGACAACTCATTTCAAACATTCATATCATTCAAATATATGA